CACGTCGTGGGGGCGCATTAAAATCCTGTGAAGATTCTAGCATGGCCACGTCGTGGTGAGCCTTCACTACATCGTGATCAACCAAAAATGAAGAATTATTTATAAAAAAATTTCCTTAGAGAAACCAGATGTTACATTGAATGCATTCGTTCCACCAATGAATGACTCTTTTGTTAAAAAAAAAGTGTAAATAGAACCTAACATTCTTTCATTTACCATATCAAAATCTTTTTCTACACTCTCTCTAAAAATGACATCTTCATCTTCTTCGTTAGCAGGTATGTTTGATGTGTTGTTTGAATCGGCCATAGAAGTCATTCAAGAGGTTGAACAGAAGATAGAAGAACCACGTTAGCAAAATGCCGATAATGCTCTCTAGAAAAAAAAGTTCATACAAAGAAATCGTGAGGCGGCTCACCAATGCCTTATGCAAGATTATTTTGAAGAAAATGCGACTTTTCAAGTATTTTATTTTCGTCGACGGTTTCATATGCACAAAAATATGTTTATGTATATCGCCAACGACGACATGGCAGGGTGTCCATAATTTCAACAACAAGCATATGCTAGGTACAATTGGTTTTACTTATTTAAAAAAAATGCATCACTGCACTTCATGAATTAGCATATGTCACTTCCCCCGATGCACTAGATGAAAATCTTAGGATGTTTGGACTTACTGCACGACAAAGCCTTCACATATTTTGTAAGTATGTCGTGAGATTGTATGGTCCATGATACTTATGCAAATCTACTGGTAGTGACGTCTAACACTTATATGCTTATCATTCGGATGTGCACGGATTCCTTGGAATGTTAGCAAGACTAGATTGCCTCCACTGGAATGGGGCAATTGGCCAAATGTACATCAAGGCCAATACAACTGAGGTGATCATGGTTATACAACTTTCATACTTGAAGTGGTGGCTTCACAATATTTATGGATATGGAATGCATTATTTGATTAGTTTTGTTACCTTAATGACATAAATGTTCTTAACATGTCTTCATTATTCGACGACATGTATTACAGGACTACACTAGATTCTTTGTTTGATGTGCATGGAACGTCATATAGGTTCAGGTATTATCGTATGGACAGGAACTATCTAAAGCATGCTTGTTTTGTGAAGTCGTTGTCTTGACCTAATGATTGAGAAAGGTTGAAGTTTAAGAGATCTCAAGAGAAAGCAAGGAAAGATGTTGAACGAGCGTTTGACGCTCTTAAAAAACGTTGGCATATACTTAAATACACTGTACTTTTTGTTGATGAGAAGAAAATGGACGATATGATGTATACTTGTATCATATTGCATAATATGATTCTTGAAGACGAAGGAAATATAATATGTAATTATAATGAAAACGAGATTGTTCCACTGACATAAGCCTTTGACATTGGAAACGATGAGTACTTTAGTTCATGACGTTGAGACCCATTGTAACACCACATTTTCGCATTATAGTATAAACGACCAATCACGTAAATAAACGTCTTTGATAGAAGACTATCTAGGAAAAATAGTCTTAACAAAAATCGTAGTAATCACAAAACCAAGAGTGTGCGTACGGAGAACGTCCAAGTTTGACTTCATAAGGGGAAGTTATGATTTCTAAAAGTTGCAGCGGAGCAATGTGTGACACAAAAACTTAAATTAGGATCGTTCAATTATTGGGAAAACAGTCTAAACAAGAATTGAAGATCTTGTCGATACCTACCTGTCGATATGAAGACAATCGATAAAGGATATTGCATGAGAGCGTTATGATTTTTATACGGGATTCAACAGTCTAATCCTATTAAAAATATAGATTTCAAAATAAAGTGAGAACTAGATGACGGAGTCTAAACGAAAGATGTAGATCTCGTTGATAGCTACGTGCTGATATAAAGAACACCGAACATGGAGCTCGTATGAAGAAGATGTGATTTTTTGGAAAATCATAAAATCCCACGCTCAGGTGAGCGCGCCGACAAGGTGCATGAGGCGCACTGACACACCACCAACTTGCCAACACATGTCACCACTCAGACAATGCCACGTCATCGCGACCGACCAAGTGTGTGGCGCGCATGATGGAATTCTCCCTATAAATACTGGATCAAGCTTCTTTATTTCTCACATCCATTTCTCATACATTTCTTTTTAAAGTCAACCTCTAGAACTACTTTCGAGTGTTTGAGGAATTCTTCTGTAGTGAGACCCTGAGGCATCTAAGAGCCCAATGGAGTAGAAATGCTCGGTATCAAAGTCATGCCAGCATACATCCTAGTTTTTGCTTGAAACTCTCTGTAAGTTAGGCATCACTTACTATGCTTTGAAGTGTAACTTATAATTATATTCACAGTCATTGTTATGAATATATAAATAAGATTTATCAATAACTTCTGTCATAATATTAATTGATCTACTTACGGGAGATGTGTCTAGAATGGTCATGTTGGCTTGATTGTTGGATTTCAGAAAGGTTATATGTTAAAATGGTCTTGCCTCCTAACTGTCCGACATGGTTCATCCTTGTTTGATAGAACTCTCAGTATTCACTGGGATTAGTGAAAGATCTAGCTTTCATTACCATATTATCATAAGGATTAATAAGTAATAGTATTATAGGTTAATACTCGTTAGGCGGTTTGCCGACTAGTAGGGTCGCCCAGGAAGCTGTTAATCTTTTAAGAAATTGTCCAGGTGAGTTTTCTCACTATACCATGTATTATAATATATATATATATATCCATGTATATATATATATATATATATATATATATATATATATCCATGTATGTTAGGATAGGAAACGAGTAGAGTAGAGCTAGTAGTATAATCTTTATGTGCATAAGTGTGGACTAGTAAAGTAGAAAGTATAAATGTGATTGCATCAGTAGAATCTAAAGTGCATTCTCTATATGTGTAATTGTTGTGATATTAGATTTAGGTAGGGGTTGATGTTAGAATGGTTAAAGAGTCCATGAACCTATAGACCCACGTAGATTTAGTTAAGGGATGATGGTGAAACAGTTAAAGAGTTCGGGAACCTATATGCCCGCGTATTCCAAGATACACATCTTATTTTGCAGATCACGAGTTATCATATATATATATATATATATATATATATATATATATATATATATATATATATGTATGTATTGTGGTATATGGTATTTTGAGGAACTCACCAATCCTTGTGGTTACCTAGTTGAATAAATATGGTTATCAAGTACTTCAGTGATTCGTGAGAAGGGTAAAATTCGACTATACACACGCGCATTTGCAGCATGTTTCCGCACAATGTAATCATACTCTAACATATTTTAATAAAAAAATAAAAATTTTTCCTTGAAAATCGGGATGCAACACCCATCATGTTCTTCATAAAGACTTGACATAATATATATGGACCGTTGACTACATCGATCTTAACGCAAAACTAATCGATGATTTAGACAGTCAATTTTCCGATGAAGATGTCATTTAGGTCTATCTAGGTTCGGTAATTTTAATTTCCATGTTTTGTATGTGTGTGTGTGTGTGTGTGTGTGTATATATATATATATATATATATATATATATATATATATATATATATATATATATATATATATATATACGCAAAACCGATTGATGATTTAGACAGTCAATTTTCCGATAAAGATGTCATTTAGGTCTATCTAGGTTCGGTAATTTTAATTTTCATGTTTTGTGTGTGTGTGTGTGTGTTTATATATATATATATATATATATATATATATATATATATATATATATATATATATATATATATATTTGTTGTAATTTTCTTTGAAATTTAATAAAATTTTAGTTTAAAATATTTTGGTTAAATTGATTATTTTTAATATAAATTAATTTTAAAAAAATAACATGACAAACGTGACAACTCATGTCCTATATATAACAAAATTTTGATGCGGTATCACAAATTTTGTGTGACGCCTATATGGACTGTGGCAAGCGTGTCTCCACTCCATCTAACCTAAATGACAATTTTGATATAATGTGGCAAATCCTATGAGACGTCTACATAAACCATGAGAAGTTTGTCACCACTCCCTCGAGCTTAATAGTACTACAACAAAAACTAACCCCTAAAATAAACCGCTATTTGTAGAAGGCCGCTAACTAGCGCACGATTAATGTGCATAGATCGTGATGAGACAATTAAGCTTTATAATACTTCAAAGAAACATAAATGAACCGGTATCTCTAGTTAGAGATTTGAAAAGTATATTTGGTCCAGTTTTAGGATATATATGTCTATTAAAGAATTTAGTAAAATTTAGAAATTTTGGCTTCATGAAGAAAAAAGGAACCAAACCATAATTTCTTTATTATAGTCATTTTAATACAATATCGAAGGTTCTATCGTAGCTTTAGATTATTATTATTTTTTTGTTAGTGGCAAAGGAATATGGTAAGAAAAAATAAATATTTACGTATTTGAATGATGACATGGAATTGTTACAAAGTATCATTTGGCTTGAATACAAAAGTAAACGTTCAAGATATACATGAAATAAGAAATTGCATTAGAAATATCAAATGCAATGACCAAGCTAGACGAAGACGTCGACGACCTAGACAGCGAAGAAGACAATTTTACGAGTAAACAAAACGAACATGGCCAAAAGACAATCCTATTTATAATATATATTAAATAAATAAATATTCCCATTAACATCAATTTATATAAATAACACAAGAAATCAAAATATAGTACACCCCCCGACCACCGTATAATAAAATAGTTCCCAAAGGCCACCGACTCTGTTTTCACATCACACGCTGTGATCATTTACTAATTTGTCGCTCCAATTTCCTCCATAGCTGTACGAAATTTCATTTTTCTTTTCTACTTTTTTAATTTTTAAATAAAGGACAAAACTGCAAATCTGCTCATCAACTGTTTGTGTTTATGCATGAATGAATGAGCTTAAAGTCAGTTCCCGAAAATATTACCTGATCAGTAATTTCCCTGGCCTACTCAACTGTGCAAGAATTCATCAGAGAAATCGGCTTATTAATGGCCTTGATTGGATTGTAAACAATGGCACACGAAACCTTTTTGTAGAACTTGGGTTTCACTAATTTACCTAACACGTAAGCTTTAGCTTTCACCGTGAAATTTAGGTTCAATGGCAACGGCGCTGTAAGTTTTCCGTTCTCGCTGCTCCAGTTCAGTCCGCCGCCGTACAACGGTACTCGTACACCTCGGACGTTCACACTCACTATTCTGTGACCTTTTCTTGATTGATAAAATTTCTTCACCTGTAAATTGATACCCATTTGAGTTTTAGATAGATTTGAATAACACACATAAATCATTTGAAACTAAAATCATTGGAGTAGTTGAGATTTTGTTACAGTTCCGGTGGCTAAAGTCAACTCGGTGTATGCGAGATCGAGTGGTGTGGATGATACATGAACCCCAAAGAAGGTTCCACGGTTGCGAAAATTGAACTTCACGGTGGCGTTTAAAGTCACCATCTCTGTCGCAACTCCAGATGCATCTGCCCCAGCATTAACTGCAAATTGATCGAATGCGATACTCTGCAAAAGTGAAAAGCCCACAGTGATGATGAAATTTAATTACATACCGAATTGATCTTTGATCCAATCAACTATGAGTATAAATCATATGAGATCGAGTAACATGGATTTCGTAATCAATTGAACAGATTAGAAATTAGAGTTGAAGATTTAGTGATTTACCCTCATGGTGATGACGGGCTTCTGAGGTCTGGCAGCGCCCCAGAGAACGAGAGCGAAAAAAGTGAAGAGAACGAAGAAACCGACAACGAACGCCAGAAAATAACACCGGCGAGGAATCCCCCGATGACCAACTTCATCGTTGTATCCTTCTTCCTCGATCGCATCAAATCCCTTCTCTCCTTTCCGGTGATGTTGATGTTGGCTGCCTTTCCTCGATCCGGGTCTGAGGGAGCCGGAATATCTGGTGGAGGAAGAGTTCCCGGATTGACGGCCGGGTGATCCACTGGGGCTGAGCACAGGCGTTGAGTGAAAGGAGTTGGTGGTCTTCTCTCCGTCGTGGGAGTCGCGCGATGGACTCTGGACGTAGTACACCGGCCGCCGCGGTTCAGACCTTGTCGGTGACGACGCCGTCAAACTCGTGACCTCCGAATCTGTCTTTGCGTGCATCGACATTTTCCTAGAAAGCTTGGTGAGTCGGTAATGGCGATATTTGTTGGATTTTGGTGAGGAGATTTGACAGAGAAGTACGAAACTGAAAAGGAGGAAAAGCAAAGTCGATCTACTAGAACTGCAGTGCACAGTGCCCAGTGAGACAGAGCCTCTAAAAATAGAGTGGAATATGGGGTTGGTTTGAAGATTTGTACGATAGTGGCTTTGTTTATTAATAGGAACAAACTACAAAGGAAGCCAGGAAGAAAGCAAGCCATGTTACAAAATATTGTAGTCAATGGATCAAAATAAAATGGGAAAATGACTTAGGATCTGTTCGGTATGGAGCTTTTAAGAGCGTTTGAAAGCTTTTAATTTTTAGTGTTTAACAAAACGTTCCGTTTTGAACAGAAGACATTGTTTGGTACTACAAGCTTTTAGCGTTTAGTTTAAACAAAAAGCTTCAAATCTAAATGCTACTTCATGTAGCGTTTAACAAAACGCTACCCGCTACCAGTTAATTTTACCGAACACGCCCTTATACGTGTTTCAAAATCTTCAAAAATTACTTTTAAGTTTGGTGTGTTCAAAAAACATCATTCAAGTAAGCATTTGTACAAAAAACAATAATAAAATATATTTTTTGTTTAAATTTGACTTTGTAGTAATGATAATTACCGATGAAAAATAAGTAAAGAAAAAAAAACAAGAAGAAATGATTCAAATGGGTAACTATGTTTCAAAATCGTTCAAAAAATATCATCCAAGTTTCGTATGTTTAAAAAACATCATCCAAGTAAACTTTTTGTACAAAAAACACCAATAAACTATAATTATTGACAAAACAATAAATGATATATTTCTCCTTTAAAAATCGATTTAGGGTTTCTTCATAAACGAATGACTTATTCTTCTCCTATGATTGCTCTTCTTCTTCTAAAGTGATGATCTCGAACTCAAGTCCAAAACCCTAATTCTTGACTTAAGGCAAAAAAGGACTCATTTACCCCTGCCTAAATGGGCCTCCCTTCCCTTAAGGCCAAAATCCATAAAAAGCCCAAAAATGCATCTAAGCCTAACTACAAGCCCTCTAAGGCCCAATATAGCCCAAGAACCCCCAACATGGCCTTAAGCCCAAAAAAATGACCGGTTACAATCAGGTGGGCCCAAGGCCTAACTTAAACAAGTCCATGCATACGCCAACATATGATGAAGCCTTTGTGATCCGGATGTCGAGCCAGTATGCCCGACGTACTCCTAGTGTACGCCCATCATACTCGGATAGGGTCAAGAACCGCCAACCTTCCGAATGTCATAACTTTATCATTCTAAGTCCGATTTCGATCTACTAAAACTACAGGGCATAGTGCCCAGTGAGATAGAGTCTCTAAAAATAGAGTGGAATATGGGGTTGGTTTGAAGATTTGTATGTTAGTGGCTTTGTTTATTAATAGCAGCTTTGCAGAAATCGGCATTGGCTTCCGATTAATCGCTTGGCGGCCTCGAACCGATTACAATTAGAGTGTTTGGCGGAAATTGGTCAAAATCCGTCAAACTCGGGCTTAGCGGTCCTTGGCGGTCCTCGGCGGTCATAGGCGGGAAATATTTAAAAAATTAAAAAAAAAAAAATTTCAAATATTACACAAAAATTTTAAAATTTTGAATTTTTCAGCTTTCAAATTTTAAAATATTATACTAAAATTTTTAAAATTTCAAAATTTTAAATTTTGATATTTCCAAATACTTAATCTTTTAGGAAATATTAATTTTTTAAATCTAGTATCCTACCCTTGCAACACTTCAAACTTCATTTGCTTGACTAGTACCTCCATTTCCCCCCTTACCCCTGCATGTCCTGGCATTATGGCCCTTGTTCTTACACTTACTACTTGTCACACTCACAAATTTCCTAGTTGGCTTCTGACTTTCACATTGACATTGTTGTGGGTTCTCTTTCTGACTTTGGCTTACACTCTTTCCATCAGCAGTCTGCCTCCTTTTCTTTTTTGGTCTTCCTGGCTGCTTGTGGTGTGATGGAGAGGTAAGGGTTGTTGTAAAATCACTCTTACGCCACATACTCCTTCCTTTGATAGAGTCGACTGTGAAAGAGTACATGCTTTTCCATGTTTCTAGCCAATACACCTTATGCACATGGGTGTACAGTTCTCCTACTTTCTCACCACTGTCTGTCATTTCATTGATTGTTGAAATTGTATGCTTGCAGGGCATGCCTATCAACTCCTATTTCATACAGCTGCAAGTTATCTGCCCCATGTCCACAACATGTTGATCATGCCATGGCCCTTTAACCTGGTACTTACTCACTCCATTCCATCTTGCAGTGTATTGTGAAGCACTTGATATATTTGCCTGTAACAGCCTTTCACCAGTAGGTGTGAGTGGACATGTGCACTTGTTTATCACCTTCATCACATTACATACTCTTTCATAAAATATTCCCTTATGAACTCCACACAGGTTATTATTGGGTTATCCTTCCTATTTACGAGCATACTGTTGAAAACTTCACACAAATTATTCAACAACATATCTGACATTGCCCTACCTATTATTATATAGTATATGTTGGTAAGTAAAATCAATGGGAAATAATGTAAATACATAAAATTATACAAATAAGTAATTACCTGAGAAATGGCTTCTAGCCCAATGATGGGGAGGGATTTTCATAAGCCATTCATAAGCTTCCACATCATAGGATCTGAACTCTCTCATCAGTGTTTCAAAATCTGGGATGGTTGTGGCTTTAGCACAATTCCACAAATGTTTCTTGTATTCCATAGTCCTCCATACTCATATTCTCATATATATATATATATATATATATATATATATATATATATATATATATATATATGCCTTAGACAATATCTATGTTCGGCACAAGGAAATATGTGTGCAATAGCAGGTGTGAGACCCTGTTTACATGAAGTAAATAGCTAAATTAGTATGTAAGTATAAGTTGGTTGTCTAGTAAAATATGTTAACCACAAAAGTAACTTCTGTCTGTCACTGATAAATATGAAGTTTGAGTTAGCATGCATGTCCAAGACATTCTAAAAACCATTTCCAGCTATCAGTGTTCTCAGTTAAACCATTTCTTTAAAGCTCCTAAGCACACATACATCCTTTTGAATTGTATGGTTGAGTTGTTACAGTTAGGCTTAGACTCCACTTGAATTTTTACAGTTGTATCCACATTTGTTGCTTGTAACTCTAACACATAATCTCTTAAAACTGCATATTGTTTAGTATAGTCTCCAACCACCATTTTTGTTGCGAGAGCTTTAGCCCTAGAAACTTTGTCACCCGAAATACTAACCTCATACTTCCTTTGTAGCTCCTCTTGAGTTGCACGAATTGGCACTCCAGGATTTGATTCAATATAATCTGTAATCTGTTTCGAAATGAAGGTGGCAGTGCAAGATTTGATTTATCGGGACTGAAGGCAATTGAGATTGCAATTATACGTCTTTATAAACCAGTACACATTATCATTTGCCCTAGATGCGTGGAGTCTCCAAGTACAGTTAGCCTTTTCTTCAATTACTTCTTTGCCCTTTACCTTTTTTGTGGTAGGTCCACCAACCCCACTTGTATTGACTATCACAGTTCCCTTACAAACAGATGTCAACCTATGTTTGTCATTTTTTTTGTAAAACGAATATTTCTTCTAGTCTATAATGCATGCATATCAAATTTTTCCTTTAGTTCTTTTTTGACTTATATTTTTGTCCTACATGGAAGGCCACCTTGTGCACTTCACCATGAGAACACACTCTCTCCTTGCCTAACTGTTTGATGATTTCCCTTCTTTTCCTATCATTGTCTAAATCTTCACCAAGAGAATCCCATTCATCATTGTTAAGAACCTCTATATCCTCTACTTCCTCTTGAACATCATTAAACTCATGAAACTTATACTCACTCTTAAGTACTTTGCATCCGTGCCTATACTCATGTGAAAATTCTCCATGTTTACTTCAATATCCAGAATTAGGTTATCTTCATCAACCATAAAGTCACTATCTTCACTGTTGTCTTCACTACTCTCTGAATCATCATCAATACTTGCATATACATCTACTAATGTGGATGATTTTTTTGGAATACTTTCATTAAATTCAACCCCATAGAAAGGGTCAAAATCTTCCAACATTTCCTCTTCTACATTATAGTTATTTTCAAAAGGGACTTCATTTGATTAGTGTTGCTTATTCATAGCAGTAAACCCCTCCTCTACACCCTTATTTATAATAGGTTTCCCCTCCTCTACACCTTCATTCACTAATTTTTCAACCATTTCTAAATCAGTAGTGGCAGTCACAAGGTCAACTTGATCACCTTCAACAACACATATTCCTCCTTTGTCTACCCAATCCAAGCAAAGCATTTTACTACATGATGAGCTACCTTGGGTAGGTTTCTAACCTCTACCCCTACTCAACTCAGGTGTGAAAGACCCATACCTTGCCAAGGTCAACCCTACTTTACTCTTACAAACTTCATATTCCACCAAGTGAGGACCAACAATAGGGGATATGGGCTGAGGTGGTTCCTCATATTTTATATCTTCTATTATAACCCTTCTAGTACCATCTGGGGACATGAAATAGGTAACTAACGTTGTTTCTCCATGCTCTGTGTACACTTTTATCAGTTTTTTCTCACTCGCATATTTTGATAGGTTACGTACATCATCATCATTACCTAGAGCTCTTAGTCAAAAATCCAAACCCTGATTAGGCAAACGGAAATGGTAGTAAATGACAGTTGGAACAACATACCATAAATCTAACATGATGGAGTCCATTTTGTGTACTGATAATTCTTCTATATCGACCACGTCAATGTATGCTACAACCCCTTCAATATACTTGATGCCTGGAAACTTTGTGAACTTCCAAGCATGATGAAGGTCAATACTGAACACGGTGGGATGTCTAGCTTAAAAAACAAAACAAAAAAATTAGATTTCAAAAGTGTAAGAACATGATCAAATA